AATGATCTGGGTGTACATGTATATCAAATGGTTGAATAGCAGTGGTCAGTGATAGTCATGCGTTGAATTCCAACTAATAACTATTTATTTATTTATCAATGTCGTTTTAGTTTAATCGGAAAATCTAATTAATAATTAATAATTAATAATTAATAATTATAATGCGGGGAGAACAAATTTTTTTTGTTCGCCGCAGTTAATAATGATAAATATGCAATTATTTATCATTGACATGTAAAATATATATTTTTTTTAAATATGTACAAGGTATATTTTAGCTGCAACGGGTTGTAAAGGGTTTTAGCTTCGGCCGTGTGTTCAGTTGAGAGTGCCGTATAATAAAAAAAGACATAAAGAGGCCGTGGAGCGCGGGAGTTCTGTTCTGTCATATCGCGCATACAATACCGTCGTAAAGAATAAAAAAAATGTAAAAATAATAAAAAAAAACAAGGGCAATTTTGAATAGCGCTCATGACCTGATTTCTAACAGCTTATATGTATATATATATACATATACGCACAAACGAGATCACACCGCGTAAAAGAAATAACGGAGTTCCAAAAACCACGTTGGCCAGAGTGCCACACCGTTACTGAGTAGTGGCCACTACACGGGTTGGCCGCGTTAGAAACAAAACCTGTTGGACACTTAACGTCTATTCTCTTTTTTTAACTATATTTTTCAGTTTGTACGTTTAGTTTAGTTACCTGTACCCGAATCTGCAAATCAACCTTTAGTCACAATACAATCATATATCTATCCCATATCACCTTTTAGTTATTTTATTATTTTTATTTTAAATCTCACTATTATTATTGTTGTTATAATTTGGAAATATCAATGGGTTATTATTCAATTAATTAATTATTCATGTAACGATAATAGTAATATTAATAAATTATTAGAAGTAATAATTATATCTGAATGTCAAGGTATTTGTAAAAACTTATGTCAAGACGTCATCGGGGTCTGTCAAGATCAAACTTTATTAATATAATTCAGGAAAATAATTAATTTTTTTTTAATTGAATAAAATTTCTCAATTCAATAATTTTATCGTCTGGACTTGAATCAAAATTATTTTCTTGGTTCAATAATTTTTTTTTTAATAGAGTAAAAAAATTTTGATAAATTGCAAGTTTGATTTTTTTTTTTTTTTCGTCTATCTTGTTTTTTTTTTTGTTTTTTTTTTTTTCTCTAAAAAAATTATATTACATTAGTCTGGGAATAATCTAAACAAATTAATATGTAAGCGATAATATATAATGAATTATAATGTAAACGTTTGAATAGTTAAGCGTATGCAAAATAATCGAATTAAATGGGTATGTATTTTAGGCAATAGTGCTGTACGCAGACTCTATTTGAATTTTTAATAAGTTTATTTAAAATCTCACTACTATTTATAGTGGAGTTAGTTTTTGTATATATTATTAATACGAGGTGCATAATTCAAGTCACAAAAAAAAAAAAGAAAGGAGCAATGAGAGAGAAGCGGGAACGAGTTCAATGACCGCTACGGTTGACAGACACAAGATTATTGGCGAACGAACTGAAAATTCGTTAACATTTTTTTCACACTTGACAACTAAATATTTCATTATTCTGGTAAATATTTTCTGATTTATAACTTTACCTTATCTCTTGGAGCATTGCATAACTTTAATACTAAAATTTATGTCTATATATATATATGACTCTAAATTTATAATAATTATTAATGAGAGGGGAGGGACCAGAGAAACCAATGCACGCTTCAATCAGTAATTGATTTAATATTATCAATTTTTTTTTATAACAGTTCCTTAAACCCGAATTTTATTATCTAGTTTAAATGTTTATTTTCATCAAATATATATCTTTTTTATTATTCTATTTATAATTAACAGGAATTGATGATCGTTAAAAAAATATTCTTCATTAGTTTTTATTTATTTATGTAAAAATATACATACATAATATATTTATTTATATCTTTATATTTATCTAAGAATACATTTTAATAATAAGTCATTAAATACTAAAATAATTAACAAAATTGAAGAAAATCAAAATTATTTTTTCAAATTTAATTTAAACATATAAAAAAAAGAAATTTTTTAAACTTATTTGTATAAAAGTAAAAATTTTCTTGCTTTAAAAACGTGTATTTTAAATAGAGAAAAAAAATTTTTTTTTAAATCAATTAAATTTTTCCTTCAGTGCGTATTAATCGACATGATTGTTGACACATGTGGGCTAGCTCGGGAATAAAAAGCACTGCGTACTTAGCATAATATAGCTAACACTATTTTGAATCCTATAATATCCCATAATATAATTGAGATGAAATGTATGTGAAACCAATTTATTTGTAATGTGATTGGTTGAAAATAAATATTCTCATTCTGATTGGTTGAAAGTGAATATACTATACATAAACGACACATAAATATACCATGATAATAAATATGAGGCGAAAATTAAATTCTAGTCCTATAATAAAATTGAGATGAAATATATGTGGCATCAAACTATTCGTAACGTGATTGGTCGAATATATCATAAGCATGAAAATATATGCAAACTCTATAGTCAAGGCGCGCGCAAAATTCAATTTTAGTGAAATATAAATCTTAGCTGAAACATTTTCCCCTGGCTTCTGATCGTCATAGATTTACTTAATTTTTAATTGGTAATTTTATCAACCATTCGAAAACTTTTTAATTTTTGGAAAATTTTTACAATAGTTGTTGTATGACTGTATGGAGTTTTAATTAAGTAAATCTATTGAGAATTACAAATATATATTTTTTGTGATGCAAAATTATTCCAGTCAACTTAAAAGTTTGATAAAAAGAGTGCAAATTATGATAATAAAAATGTGTGTTTTTAAAGATTATTTTCTAAAATATTTTACAGACATTTTTAAAAAGTCAATAAAGATAAATACAATAGTTTAGATTTCTATAAAAAATTTACTTAAAAATAATTATTATATCAAGTAATTAAAAATAAAAAATTGAAACTTGTTTAATGAGTTTTTAGATATATTTTACAGAAATTTAATAAGTCATAGAACTTAGAAAAATTAATTAATTTAAGTCAAGAAAATAATTTTAAATAAAAAATTTTTTATCATGATTAAAGACAATGAAACTCTTCAAAATTGTTTTTTTTTTTTTTTTTGTTTAAGAATTTTTTTCATCTGTTAAATAGCGGGAATTAAAGGTACACTGATAGGATTTGTTTATAGTTAAAAATATTTGTTAACATTTAATATCAGATTTATTAAATCCAAAAAAATCATTTTAAATCCTAAAAAATATTTGTTTAATACCAAAAAGTGGTCTCTAATAAATAAAATGATTTGTTAACTATTAAAAAATATTTTTTACAAATAAATCCTTTTATCAGTGTGGTATATGCTACCACCAATTATGATGATGACCATCAATGTTAATGCAAGAAGTGAGCCATCGAGTGTGCGTTCTCATCTGTGTTTGGTAAGTGAGCGCATTGGCGATTGGAGCCTGTATCATTACAGTCTCTGGAGTAGAGCTGGAGGACAGATTAAAAATGTAAGAGGGAATCAGTAGCATAAGTTGGAGCAGGAGCTAAAGAAGCAGTGGCAATACCACTTACCAAATAATATAATATCAGAGTAAAGCTGGATGCTGGTTGTGCTTACTTGGTTCTTCGCGGTTGTTGTTAATAATATAATAGCAGGGAGTGAGTGGTAGTCGGTCAGATGACTGGACTGCGTTGCGTTGCGTTGCGGTGTAAGGCGGTTTATTTATTTAAAAAAAATAAAAGCACATATACACATATATAATATAGAATAATATTCGGTGGTGCGGATGGTGTTGGCGGGATGGTTCCAGAGTTAATGTCTGAGCGCACGCATCACTGGCTGTACCTTGTTGGTTGTTGCGTTCGTGGTCTCTCTTAACGAGCTGTGAAAGGGGATAGGATAGTGTGTGTAGTGTGCGGAGCGGGTGGTGGACATAACACGAAGAAGAAGGAGGCGAAAGAGGCTCACCTCCGTGTCGGTAGGACCCGCCCTCGTAAGTCTGTTTTGCCGGTTTTGCTGACGTATATATGACCCATACTTCCCCCCTTTCGGTACATATGTGTACAGATGTATAGATATTCAAATGTACAAATACAACAGACTTTTATTCGACCATTCAATTCAATTCAATTCAATTCAATTCAATGCAAAATTGCATTTCTTATTTATTGCAAGAAAATAAAAATCGCCAACTGCTATCACATCATATCATATCCTATCGGTTAATAATAATATTATTAATACTACTTAAACTACTTGTGCTTGTACACTACTATCTCAATTGCCCCTTACAAACGCAACAAGTTGACCGCACATCCATTCTTTCGCCGCCCTCACCTCCCACTCTAACGCCTGGTGTCAAATACCCGCCGCTCTGCCGTCGCCTGCCTGCCTGTGGTTGATGAGTCACTATATAAGACAGCAAGGACAAGAAGGTGTATGTTAGTATACATTCATTTCTTCTGGTGGGCTCTCCGCCTCACAATATAATCGTATCGGTTCAGTCGTATCGTCGACCAAACACCGCGATCACTTATTATTATACTCTCCGCTAGTATATATCTCGCGGCTACGGCTACTGCTACGACTAACGATCGTAAATAGATAAATACATTTTTTTTTCTATTTGTCATTAGTAATTATTAATTATTAATTTTTCATCATAATAACTACGCTCATTATCTATTTATAATACTTGCTCTAAATATTATTGGTATTTAGGAGCCAAGTTAAAAAAAAAAAAAAAAAAAAAATATATATATTTTCAACATACATCGTTATTTGTTATCGGTAATTAATAAATATAGACCAAACAATTATCACGAGATAATAAGTAACTATTTGTGAGACTGTGCGGTCGGGAAAAAAAAAAAAAAAAAAAAAAAAAAAAAAAAAAAAACAACTTTTATTTTTTTTTTTTAAACTGAATAATTTAAAAGTATTAAAATGTTTGTGGAAATCGCGGCACAGTGCATTTGGGGATCCATTAAAGACGTTTATAAAATAGACTTATTCAACGTCTACAATATTGTGGTATTCATTGTGGTAATTGGACTAGTCAGACTCGTTCAGTGGGTCCGGTATCTTCGGAGTTTGCCGCCCGGACCTTGGGGATTCCCCATTCTCGGTTATCTTCCGTTCATCAAGGGTGACTTGCATCTCCAGTTTGGCCGACTGGCTGCTGAATACGGGTCAATGTTCAGTGCTAAACTCGGCAGCCAGCTAATTGTTGTTCTCAGCGATCATCGCACCATCCGCGAGACATTCAGGCGAGAAGAATTTTCCGGAAGGCCACACACTGAATTCATGAATATTCTCGGCGGTTATGGTAAGTTATTTTTTTACTAATAATCATCTAATCATCTTGATTAATATATTTTATAATAGAATAGTACTAATAATTACGTATTCCGATTGCATCTTATAGGTATTGTCAATACCGAAGGCGCGATGTGGAAAGAACAGAGAAAATTTCTCCATGAAAAGTTACGATATTTCGGGATGACTTACATGGGAAACGGAAGAAAATCCATGGAGACTAGAATAAAGGTAAATTTAATTAAAATAATTATTAAAAATTTTTTTTTAAAAATAAAAATTAATTTATAAAATTTTTTTATAAGCGCGAAATAGAAACTATGATACACACGCTGTCAGTAAAGAGCGGCGCACCAACAGATCTTTCACCTACACTGAGCGTATCAATCAGCAATGTCATCTGCTCGATCATAATGGGGGTAAGATTCCAGCACGGAGACGCTAAATTCAGCCGATTCATGGAGCTGATTGACGAAGGATTTAAACTTTTCGGGAGAATGGTTCCTGTTAACTTCATTCCGTTGATGCGGTACCTGCCTGGACTGTGCAAGGTCCGCGACAAGCTGTCCCGCAACAGATCCGAAATGGCAGAATTCTTCCAAGAAACTGTCGACGAGCACCGCAACACCTTCGACAAAGAAAACATCAGGGATATCGTGGACGCTTATCTCGTTGAAATTGAGAAAGCTCAGACGGAGGGAAGATCGGCGTCGCTGTTCCAGGGAAAGAATCACGGTTAGTACTTGTATTTATATATAATAATAATAATAATAATAATAATAATAATAATAATAATGATAATAAGTAAGAGATGAACTTTCTTTTTATAAAATTGCTTTTTTCTCATTATATTTGTCCAGATCGTCAAATGCATCAAATACTGGGGGATTTGTTCTCTGCCGGAATGGAAACCGTGAAAACAACTTTAGAGTGGGCTGTAATTTTAATGCTCCACCATCCAGAAGCGGCCAAAGCCGTCCAAGAAGAACTGGACCACATTGTCGGGAGATCACGTATGCCCGCATTGGAAGACCTTCCTTACTTGCCAATTACCGAAGCCACAATTCTCGAAGTAATGAGGAGATCCAGTATTGTACCACTTGGAACCACTCACGCAACTACTAGGTAAGTTCAATAAACTTTATTTATCTAACAAAGGATATTAAAAATAAGAAAATTATTTTAATAATTTCACCGGTTTTGTTTGTTTGCGCAGAGACGTTAAGTTTAACGGATTCACAATACCAGCAGGAACGCAAGTAGTACCGCTACTCCATGCAGTTCACATGGATCGATCAACAATCACAACTACTGTTGATATTGCTTGCTACTTACTTACCTAGAATGTGATCTTCAACAATACTAACTACGAGGATCTTAAGAAGATTTAATGACGACTCTACAATAGTAGGATGGGTTGCAAAGTCTTGACGAAATTTAGGACAATAAAGCGCTACACCAGCAGCAGTACGCCATACTGCACTAGCTTTATAAAAACTCATCATTAATAATTCATTTTGTTTGTTCATATTTTTCATTTCTTCAGTTTCATTTTTATCTACACTATTTATTTCTTCTATATTATCATCAGTCTTTTTTTCTCTATTAAATTCATAATCGTCATTAGAAAATAAATCACCGGTAGATTTTTCTATTGAACACTGTTGCTGTTTAAATTTTTTAATATCATCAATATCACAGAGAATCCTGCGAGTTTCATATTCGAGAATTTCAAATAAAAACTTTTGCGGTGAATACTCGGTGAATTTTGACGTACCTTCGGCTTTAATATCACGTTTTGTAGAGTTAAAAATTTCCATTATCACAGATATCTGGAGCAAATTGCACACGGATCTTGTAAATGTGCCAATTGACAATAGCTCCAGCGCCTCTTCTAATCCATTGAGTTGGATAAATTTTTCGTACAAACTATTGTCAACAATTAGACTGGAAATAATTGATAGGCATGATTGGATAATAAATTCAACAGTCGTCGTTGATTTACTGTCAATAGTTAATTTACAATAATTATTTTTTGCTTTTAAAAATGTCGGGTAAAAGACTTTAGACAGCATTTGATATTTAACTGATAAATTTAAATGCGGAGTGACTTTAACTAAATGTGCCATCGTCATACAGCATAAATGAGAATTTTCCGGCGATAATAGAGATCCATACAACTCGATAAAGTCCCACGAGTAATCAGATGATTTACTGCAGCAGATATTGCAATTATCGTGCGAATCATTGTCATTACTAGCACTGGCAGCTGATGACAAATTGTAACTTTCTTTAAATAGACACCGCTCGAGTAATGCGATGCATAACGAGTAAACATGTTTATTATGCGGTTGTTTTTTAACATAATTAATAATATTAACAAGTAATATTTTTAAAGGAAAACAGCAGCATGTACCGGAGTTTTTCATTATTTTTAGTAGCCTCACTTGAAAATCACAGTCAAATCGTGAAGATTCTTTAAGCAATCTTATAAGAATAATAAAGAGGGATGAAATGGAACAGCCACATGCTTGATGGGATATACTGGCGACCATTGTGGGCTGATAATAAGCGACTCCAAGTACATCATTATGATGGTAATGATGATAAGACTGAATAGAATCAGTTTCCGCAAGACGATTATGCTTAGACTTAATGTTACTGGAGCTATGACTGATCTTGGACTGCTGTCCTATGCAAGCGAGCTCCTGTTTTATGTGCTTGAGACCGTTTATCAGCACGCCTATCATGTCGATAACTTTCTGCGCTCGAGTCAACGACCTCGATGAATCAATGCTTGGTAAATCTAATATTGTCACTATTGTTTTTTCGATCAATTTACCATCTTGACTCTCAATAAATAGCTGGAATAACTCTAAAAAGTCATTTAGCTTATCCAAGCTTTTTTTCCGCTGGCTGATGAAGTAATAAAGAAACGCCAGAGTCCCGTATGTCATTCCATAAATACACTCTTGTAATAATGAACCCTCTTGTGGGCTGGCTGAAAGGATTAATTTACTACTGCAAATGTCCTCTAATAGTCTCAATGTCATTGGTAGCAGCCCGTTGTTTATTACAGCAGTCATTAGCTGATCATCCAGAGTAAGAACTCGCTCCAAACCGGTCAACATCAGTCTTGAAGTGGCTGCTTTCAATCTGAGACATTCAATTGAAGTTAAACAGAAGTTATCCGAATCAGTAGCAAATTGCAGTGACCACAAAGTATCCAGAGAAAATTTAATTATTTTAACAGCAACAGCTTGCTCTACACAAGTGTTTTCATAATCTTTTTTTATACTTTGCAGCAATTGCATAATAAGAAAGCTCATTTCTAAATTGCTGATCTTGGTGGCTAAAACAACTTTAACCCGATCGTCGATAAAATATTTTTCATTTTTTTTATTTTTATTAGATGATTTATTGAATTTTTTTTTTACTCCTATCGCAATATCTTTTTTATCAATCTTATTGTCCTCGTCGTAGTCGTCATCATCCTCCTCAATTTTTCCATCACTCCTTATTACATGCGTAAAGTAATCAAAATCCATCGGATTAAGTCGTATCTTAAACGTCAAAGAACGTGTTTGATCAATATCATCATCCGCATGTACATAATCAGACTCATTAGTACTTGAGTCAGTGTAATTAGTTTCAGTTTTTCCATTATCTGATTTATAATTTTTAACTGTGCGCAATTCACGTCTTTTTCCATTTGCAATAGCATTGTGTTTTTTTATTTTTTTACGTGATATTTCTGCGTCATTATTTACATTGTGATGATAATTAAACTTTCTCTGATAATTTTTTTTTTTCATTTTAGATATAATATCCAATTGATCAACAGTTTCGTCATTTAAATTTAATTTAATGTATGGATTATAAAAAGTAACACGGTTTGCTTCCACCGGTTTCTTTTTCTCGGTATCCTCGCTCTGATCTTGCTCATGGTGTGAAGCAACGACCGGGTACAGAGCTATAAGAAGGGCGACCAGTTGCCGACCACAAGAAAGATCTCGAATACCACCAAGTAAATCGAGAACTGCCAAACACCGCCATCCGCGTCCCTCAATCAAGTATTTGCGGAGCTCAACGAGTTCATCTCCACCCTCATTTTTAGTTGTCATACACAATTCATTTATATCGGAAAGCAATTCACAGGCTATCAGTGTGGAAACTCCGCCGTCGTCACCGTTACCACCAAATGAACTAAAAAAAAAAAAAAAAAAAAAAAAAATAAAAAAAAATAAAAAAAAATAATAACGACGGCTATTATTTTAGCATAGTTATCAAATTAAAATAACAATAATAAAAAGCATTCATTGTAATCAAAATAAAAAGTATTTATATTTCCATCAATAACAATATTAATAGTTTATTTAACTTTGAGTCCTATATCAGTACTACGGAAAATTACACCGAGGCATGTCTGTATTCTTATCACACCCTATTCGCGGGCGCAAATGCTAAATAAACACATTCATTATCTACTAATGTATATTTTATGAGTTTTGCAACTACATATATACCTACATAAATACTTTATTCAAACAATACTTGTCTCTGTAGCTTTTCATTTAAATTCGTCATTCTGTTATTTTGCACGCCTCATAAGCGAAGCGTTGAGGCTGTGCTCTACTCTCGACATTTCAAAAAAAAAAGCACTTTTCTCGAAACTGAAATTGATTTTTTGTTATTTATATCGCACTTACAGGTTAATATGAGTACAATTATATCAAGGCAAATAATTTGTCAGGCACATAAAATATATTTCAATAATTTTTTTGTTTAACATGGTAATTAATAACAATAAACATAATCTTTTCTTTAATAATTTTTTTTTTTTTATTATCTAAAGTTACACACGACGGATTTTCTCAATTAATAAATTATTATTATAAAAAATTAAAATTATTATTTATAAAAAAACTAATATATGTGGATTTTTTTGTATATCTATCTATACATTTTATTATAGTATTTTTTTTTTTTTCCACCTTACAGTTATAGCGCCACTAAACCATAGCAGAGTTTTCTGTTTTTTATTATCTTTTATATTAATCTTAATCAATTTTATTGTGAAAAATGAGATTATAAGGCGTGCAATTTTGGATTTTCCAAACTATTTTTTAAAAATATTATCAGTAATTTATTTTAATGAAAGATTTACTGTGCTATCTAAAAAGCTACGGTGAGTTTTTGAAATTTAAAATATAAAAACTCACCACCAAGAAGAAGTAATAGTAGAAATATCTACTCCATCGTGAACTTGTGCTAAAAATTCAGCAAGAAATGTATCCAACCACAAAGATTTCTGAAATACAAATAAATTTTTTAATTTAAAGAATTTTAATGATAAATTTAAAAATAAAAATAACAATTGTTATTGTTTACTTAAAAATACCTGATAACTGAGCGGCTCAGCATGAATGAAATTATCCCAGAGTATTTGTAGCTTATCATTAGAACCTGGTGAAGTCATTTCTACAATTCTCAAGTGTGTAAGACCTTCTTAGACATTTAATGATGAAAAAAAATTTCAACTCAGCGATTGATCATTATGATTAATTAAAAAATAAAAATATTAACAAACGTATAATTTTTCAATGTAAAAATAAAAAAATGATGCTCCAAAAAATATTTGACACTATTAGCTAGCAGAAATATTTGCCAGTAGTAGCAGCGTGTACTCGTGCAACGATCGCGGATTGCGTTGTGGGATTGTGTGAAAGATAAAACCGCGAGTTATAGTAATGAAACACCCCGTACTTTGCGCATGCATGTACTCTTTGATTCTTCCTTGTCTCTCTTCCCAAACTTGATTTGTACTTTATCCTTATTTATTTTCAAGTTATATAATAATTATAATAACAGCTTCGTATCGTATTATTTTTTCCTTCCAATGTAAGCCTTATATTATACCGCAGCTACAAACTCGTAAATTAGTGAGTAAATTAATCAATACACACCACGTATTATTATTTATTTATTTAAGAAGCCTCTCAAATGCTGAGAAGACTATAATCATAGGCTCATATTTATATGCAAAATATCAATGTAAAAAAATTTAAATCATACGACAATTTACATGACAATAATTATCAGAGAGACAATTGACGTTTTAATGAAATCAAGGTTGATAATTGAATTAATAAATATTATTAACAGTATCAACGACTATTTTTATTGATATAAACAATATTAAATGTGGTTATGTTTTTCAATAGATTGTATCAATTGACATTTCACATTATCTCTATTTACAAAAATCATCACTTTTGTATTTATTTATTTTATAACATACATTGTAAATGACATACATACTAATAAAAATTTTCACTTTGAAACAAAAGAAAAAAGTACTCGACAATAATCTGTTCAGCGTACACAACTTACATACTATATATTTTTTCTTCTGAGAATAATAATAATGACAATGACAAGTGCGAGCAAAGTAGATATCGTTTTTATTGCACATATAATCACAATTAAATCCCTACAATGATTTTACCAGTTATTGATACACTTGTGCCCAGTACAGTAATACACACACGTTTATAAAACGATTTGAAATTGTTTATCAAGTTTTACATTTTTATTTCTTTTTTAATTGTTGCATTGATAACAACTTCACTTGGATCTCCTTAAAATTATACAATAATTAAAGAGTTTTTTTAGTTCAATCATAAGTACTAATTAATAAATTAATATGAAAATAAAGTTAGCCGACATTTCAAAATTTTTAAAAATTTTTTATTGAAAAAATTTCATTTAAACAATAAAAAAAAATTTCGCAGGTAAAAAACTTGAAAAACTATAAGTGCAATTTTTTAGAAATATCTTTTTAGTTGTAATTTAATTAATAACAAAAATCAAAAAATTTTTTGACGTCTGCTTATACTTGTGTCATTAAATTAATTATTAGTATTGTGAAAAATATCAATCGAGTTAAGTGAATAGCTTGAAAAGCGACAAGAAGTTTAGAAAATGATATAATGTTGAGATATTCAAAAAATTTGAAAATAAAAGTTTAAAGACATTTAGTAAAAATATTTTTTTCTAAGATATTAATTATTATATCTTCTTTAAAAGTTTCTCATTTTTTCAATTTTAATAATCAATATCTTAACTTAATACTTTTTTTTAGTCTATTATTTTTCATCTGTACTTTAATTAATATTCATTAATTTTCAGATACTACAATTCTTTTAACTCAATTATTGTAGCAAAAAATTTTTAAATCAATTATAATGAAACTGCAATTAGCAGAAACTTTTTATGATTTTTTTTCTTTGAATAAATTGAAACTATTGCAAAAATTGAATAATTTTTTCACGTAATTGATAGAGCACGTCGAGATTTTAAATGAGAAAAAACTTCAGTTCTTTTCATGTCGAATTTATTGTTTTTCGTTAGTAAATTTTCAAGGATTAATCATTAATTAACTGAAAATTATAGATGAGGAGTGATTGTGAATTTTGAGAAAGCAATATATAGTTTAAAAAAAAAAGTAACTTTTTTATGATATCCAAGTCTCTCCACTTTTTTTATTCTCTAATTTCAACTCCCCATTATTTTTCAGAACGAATTGGTAGAAGGGCTTTTCTGCTCACGTGTGTTCTCTAACTTCCATTCCAGAAATTTCAGACTTTCAATCAAAGTTGTAGTTCTAGAGACTCTACCATAATCAATAGAATTTATAAGTGCTAGACTAGACAAAAATTTGTTAAATTAAAACAGTAACACAAGTACTTAAAAAAAAAAAAAAAAAAAAAAACAAAACCATCGGATAATTGTAATGTATAATGAATAATTATTTTTCTTATTTATTTAAATTTAAATTATACATTTATAAATTTTATTTTATATTTTGCAGGACACAAGTGAGAGATTGAGGTTAGTTATTCTGTCAATATATATCAGCAACAACAATTACTTGAATTTTAAATGACTATACAACAAATGTAAGGATTAAAAAATAATAATTGTGAATAATTATAAAAACAGATGAGTAAAAATAACATAAAAATGAGTATTTGGAATAAATTACGAAATTCATGTGGCTGGCGAAGTGGTGCTAAACAAATGTCAATTGATGCAATGATACCAATATTTGCCGTTCCGGCAATAACCATTGTTGCTGCTCAAACTGTTTATTTTACAGTGATAACATTTATAACAACGCCAGTTATTATTTATCACTTGGATCACAACTTTCTGAGATTTTTACCCAGGTCGAAATTTTTTTTCATGTGGACGATCACCAGTGTCGTAATGATGTTGCTAGTTTTTGAAACGTGTGTTGTGCCTCTATTAGAAATTTTACCAGAGGAGAATTTAGTTTTTGTAGCCGGAGTTATTGGAGGCTTTTTTTGTGGACACAAAACCAAGATAAAAGCCGATTGTTTGGCTCAGGACGGAGCGGTATTAGCGGTGGCTCAAGAATTGGAGTTAGAAAAAGGTATCAATGGTACTGAGGGTGATGAATTTTGCGTAACGTGTCGCAAAAAAGCACCACCACGTGCTTATCATTGTCGGCTCTGCCAAACTTGTGTGCTAGGCAGAGAATATCATTGCAAATGGTAGAGATCTTTTTTTAATTATTAATTTAATAAAGGTAAAAAAAACAAACCACTTATGGAATTTATTTTTTTTTGTTAAGGCTAAATTGTTGCATCGGAGCCAATAATTTAAAATGGTACCTTGGATGTTTATTTTGTTCAACATTGGCCTTTATATATGGATCTAATCTCACGATGACAAGTGTGTGTCATCCTTTTATTCTCATTGGAACTCTTTTGCTGCCCGATGATTGCAGCGATGTCTATCATCAACTAGAGTAAGCTCATGATTTATGATTATATTGCTGGTTAAAATTTATTACTTTATTTATTGAAGCTAATTTTTCATTAATATTTAATAATACTAAAGTTAACCGATGTTTTTTAATTTTTTGATTCTTTTTCATTAATTTAATTACACGGAAAGAACAAGATAACACTGGATATCATCCCAGATTATACTCAGTGATATATGTGATGAAAAAAAATTTTTTTTTTTAGATAATAGCTAGAAAAATCCAGATTATACTGCGTGATATCGGGATTATACTCATTGTAATCTGGATTATACTAGGTACTATCTAAAAAATTTTTCTGAATGAAAATTTTTTTTATAATAATTTTTTCAATAAAAAAATTCTAAAAATTTTTAGATGTCGGCTAACTTAATTTTCATTGATATTTAATGTCTTTTTATGAATTTTTAGCCTCGCACTTTGTTTTGTGTCTGCTGTCTACAGTCTGATTGTCGGATTAATAGTTTTCAGTTATTTAATATACCATTTATGGCTGATATATTTGGGCACAACAGCAAACGAACGAAGACGTCTCACCTCAGCTGATAGCCACTCAACAAATTATAGATTACTTACAAGTATTGCACAACTAGTCTGTTAATTAATAGGATTAAAAATCCGGTTGTTAATTACTTCTGCCGTCAATATTAATTTAAGTATTTTTATATTTTATTATGATTAAAGTATTTTACTTTTACTGTGAATTTTTATAGTTAATGTAACAATTTAAATAATAGCATTTATAATAAATTTTTAGTGATTATTGAGGTAAAAGACAAAATTAACAAGTCGCTGATGATAACATTTATATTTTATTCGAAAAAAAAGTTAAAATTATATTTTTGTATGAATGAAATATGTAACAATAATGTGTACATAGTGCCAAGTTATTTATTGATACTTAAAAGTTTCACTAGATTATATAATAATAAATTCAATTGTACGTCGCACTTAAAATATGTTAAGCATAAATTAAAATAAATCGAAAAAAATTTAACTTCAAAGTTTATTAAATTAAAAAAAAATAAATGAATACACATTTGAAGATAATTAATGATTAATCAATAATAACGCCCCGATGTTGAGGAGCAAAATCAGGAATTACTGACTGGACTAACTGTCTAAGTTGATCCTTTCGTTTGTCAGTCTCTTCGACTTTATCCAAAATTAGTAAATATTTTTTCCATAATTTAAAGTAAGTCGATTTTAGTTTTTCGTTATAAAAATTAAAAGCTACTTCTTGATTATTATTATTAATTATTTTCATCGAAAGTGTATAAGCTAACCATTTGTCGTAATAACTTTTTTTCAGCCAATTGTTGCAATGATCAACAGCAGTCTTATATATTTTTCTATTGTTTCTCGTTAATTGCAGCCAACTTTCAAAAACCCTCCAGGTGAGATTTCTATTATAAATATCAATACTGAGTTCCATTTTAATTTGTATTTTTTGTTCAGTTTCAGACTTCCATTTGACAAACGTTTTCCGGAGAATAGATAAATCATAGTGTCTCTCAGCTTTATTCATATCATCGTGTACTGATTGTACAAAAGCAATCAGCGGACAAAGAATATATCGGCGAAGCAAATACTTCCGATAAAAGTCATCAGCTTCCTGCATCGCTTTTTTAAGTTTTTCAATATTCAAAGCACGTTCTCGTTCTTCTTCATGACGACGACGAATTTGTCGAGCTTTTTCTTGAGCTTCTAACTCAACTTTTTTTCTTGCTGCCTCTCTTTCGCTCATTTTCGCCATTTCTTCCCTTAATTTTTGTTCTTCCAACTTTTGTTTACGCTCCAACTCCCGTCTGGCAACTCTTTCTCGTCGGGCTAAAGCTCTAGCTTCCATTCTCGCCAAAAAAATCGGTGGATTCGGCTTTGGTACACCGTCACTCAATACTTCTTCAACTTCATGAGAATCAATGCCTTCTCGCAACATTAATTGTCGCAAAATCTTTTGAGATCTTTTCTTGCTATGAGCAAAAGCTCCTTTAGCGGTTTTTAGAGTTTCCAGTTCGCTTAATTTTGATTCAACTTGAATTTGCTGTAACTTCATGTCCTGGATAAGTCGATTTTGTTCAGCCAACTTAGATCTCTGCTCATCAATAACTTTCTTTTGCATCTTCAGGCGATTCGCAAACGTTGCAGACACATTTAAATTTGTTTTTGCTTTAGTATTAACCAAATCTTTAGTATCAACTGACATATTCTTCTTCTTAGTACATCTCAAAACATTTTTCTGCTTATCTCTAATTGCACTTATAAACAATTCTATTTTTGTTACATCCTCAATTTCGTACTCTTTCTTCTGACTTTTATTTAAAAATTTCATTTCATCTACCAACATTCTCCACCTGTCAAAGTATCGCTTCATTTGACTTACTGAATAAATTCTCTCTAGCGTTGATTGCAACAATTTCAAACGCTTAGACTCTCTAGCATGATTTAAAAGTTCTTCGAATACATTTTTCAAAATTTCACGGTTCTCTTCTTTCAATCTAGCCGACGATGGCTTATCCTTAATCGTCACCGAAATATCTCCCGAGTGTTCTTCAACTTTTGGCTTAATAATTTCAATCTTTTGTACATTAAATTCATTTGCGTACTCGTCATTTTCCAGATGTCTGCTTGTTCGTATTTGAAAATTTATTTTTTGAGTCATAGTTTCAAACGGAGGTAAATCTACAGTTTCTTCTTCTGGACCAAATATCCATTTTCTTTAAAAACAATCGCAATTAATAATATCTTAAAAATAAATCTTTAAAAAAATACTTACATTTTTTGCTTTCGATCCCGGCATAAAATACTCGCTGCATCCATTAATTATCTAGGAAATTAATTTAATAAATTATTCGTTCCATTTATCTCTTCTTAAATTTAAACTTACCTCCTACTTGTTAACTCTCAAAATTTATTTAAAATATTTCAACAATATATTATAAAATTTGTCGATTCAATAATTGAAAGACTATACCAATAAATACTTATTAAATCCATTTGTAACCTTGGTTACATGATGACTAATTATAATGTAAACAAACAAACACAAAAGAAATTACATACTTTTATTTTTATTCTAAAATAAAATTTATGTTTTTAATTATTAATAGTAAGTATTTAAATTTTTATTATTGTGTACTTATTTACAAAAATATACTTTTCGCGAGTTACTAATAAAATTTATTATAATAATAAAATTAGCCGACATTTTTGATTTTTTTTATTTTGCTTAATTTATTAAATTATAACTAAAAAATATTTTTAAAAAATTACACTTATAGTTTTTGAAGTTTTTAATAAATGAAAAAACTTTTTTTTTAATAATTCTTTAATTAAAAAAAATTTTTAGATGGCTAACTTTATTTTTATAAATTTATTGTGTAAATTTCCCGCTGTCACTTGTCACGTGACCAGAGATTTATACAAAGCGCCCCCTCTAGTATTTAAACTACGCATTAACTTTACGCGATACCTCTTTCCTTCTCTTACTTTTTGCTTTTTAGTAACTGTCAAAGTCTATTTTTGTCTGTTTATATATTATATTTGTGTATTGTCTCCCCGAGAACGTCATCTTCAGCGCGCATAAGCGAGACTAGTGAAAAAAATCTAACAAAACGTCTACGAGAAAGTTAAGAGTGTTGATATATTCCTGTCAAAATTTTCATGTTCATTATTCTTACATCCTACTCAATTGCAGCGTGTAACCTAGTGATCTGTAAAATCAAATGGCCACGAGTTTTTCTTTTAAATTGAAGGTATCACTCCATTTATATTTCAATTTATAGTTCTATAAGTCTTAATATTTATTTTAATAAGGTAGTTTTTTTTTTTTTTTTTTTTTTTTTTTTTTTTTACTGTTACAGAGTTTATTACATTTGCCCTAGATTTGTGTTGAATAATTTTTAACCCTAAAATTTATTATTACTTCAATTTTGTTGATAAACAAATTTTATAAAAATGTTTTTTTTTTTTTTTTTATTATTTTTTTTTTTTTATTATTTTCAGTGGCTGTAAAAAAAACAGTGAAACCCACAAGGCTACATGAAATTTAAGGTTATCATTTGTTAGAGATTAAAACCATGGATTCAAGGGGCCCTCAAAGAGCGGGGGCCCCTGTAAACCCAACTACCATTACATCAACAATAGCAGACGTTGATAAATCCTTACTGGACACTGTTGTTGATGACAATTGGCATGGGGTTGGTAGTACAGTTAAAAATAACAATCGTTTGCTGTTTCTCACAGTAAGTTATCATTTATCATTGTCACAAATTATTTATTTATCATGACACTGAAGTTAACAGTCATTAGAAATTTTTTTAGAATATTATAGCAATGAAACTGTCATGAAAAAAATTTAATAAGAAAAATTATTAAGTAAAAGTATTTAGAAGAATTAATTGATTTTTTATAAAAATAAAAAAAAAATTGACATTTATCAGCTGACTTCAGTATTATTTAATAGCAAAAAATTTTAACTAAGCATATGTTTCAGGTCGAATATGTGGACGATAATCAGTCGCGAGACTATTCAAAAGTGTTTTCACCATATGAGCAGGTGTCTTTTTATTCACCGAGAGCTCCGTCACCGCTCTCGGATTTCGAGCACAGTCAAGTGAGCCCGCTGGACCCAAATATGAGTTCAACTGCAAGATACTCACCTACGCCAGTACCGCAGCTTCCATCTCTATCATTTCCAAACTCCGTAGTTGTTCTTCCTGATCCACCTTCCCCACTTATTATACCAAGCGATGGTCATGCTAGGACCAATATAAATAACTATATTTCTAGTCACAATAATACTATTCAAAATGTAGTACAATCCGCTGACAATACAACCATTGATTTTGTCAACACTGATGTTCATGAAGAAACTCTGGTAACTAGTGTTAATGGAGAGTTGATTTTAATGCAAGGGACTAATGTTGAATTAGAGTCTACGTCATCGTCTTCGTCCTCAAGATCTGCCGACACTGCTGCAGCCGGTCCATTGATGCTTGCGGAAATTCCTGAGACTGAGTTCACTTTGACGAGAGACTTTTTGGTGATGCACGACGAGGATCAATTAAATGTTGTTAATTCATTGGTTAGTCAAAGTGGAGGAATAAAAGAGGAGCAGATAATTATTGGTGATCATATGATAGGCGAACATCAAACAAAATTGCTGGAATTTAATAATGACGATCCAATAATCTCAAAGGAACAAATTATAGGGAAAATTTTAAAGAATAATATCGAGTCTGCAAAAATAATTCCGAGTGTTCCAGCTTCTGGTAAAATAATACTGAGGAAAAATAAAAAACAAATTCGTAATAAAACAACATCAGGTAAGTTTTTATTTAATAAAAATTTTTATTAATGATAATTAGTTGGATTTAATTATTATTTTTTAGACTATGAAGAGTGTATCTCCCCGGGTTGCCTAAAATCTGGTGAATGTACTTGTCGAAATGTTCGTACAATTTCTGATCAACCTGTACCATCAAGAGCGGTAGCGACTTTACCTGGGTCTTATCTTGCAATAAATAAATTGCCATCAACTCCAGTTATTGGTGAACCCATCGGCTATTGCAATTACGGAGTATTTGCTAAAAGGAATATTCGGCAACGTACTCAGTTTGGGCCTATAGAAGGAGTCCTGTATCCTTACAACGGAGAGTCTTTTAAAAATGATCAATTACCTTTGCTTTATGAGACAAATGAAGGAGATTTACTAAAAGTTGACGTATCAGACGAAAATACTTCTAATTGGATGCGATTTGTTAGACCGGCTTTAACTTATAATGAACAAAATTTAGTTATTTGTCAGCAAGCTGACGGAATTTTCTTTCTCACTACTCGTAATATTTTATCAAAAGAGGAATTGAAAGCGGGTCCAAGTTCACAGTATGCTTCGCGTCGTGGTTTAACTATACTTGAATCTGATTCGTCGTTGAAAGATAAAGAAATACCTTATGATGATGATAATAATATTAATGAGTGGCAGTTTTCAAATGCCTGTGAAGAACCTTTTAAACCCACTGAAAAATTTGAGTCTTTAGACATTCAATACAATGAAAATGGAGCGGATAACAAACCAGATTCTGAGCAAAATAAATCAAATTCACCGACAAACAACAAAAAATTATTAAAAGTTGTTGATGGTCAAACAGTACTGTATTCTTGTCCACAGTGCACAAAAGTATTTCCTCGAAGCTACAGTTTAAAGCGTCATATGCACATGCATCTTAGTTCTAAAACTCCGCAAAAGTATGAATGTTTAACATGTGGTGAAAATTTTCTTCATCCTTACAACCGAAGTCGACACATGAAAATATTTCACAATGACGAAACGCGAGAGAAAGAAAATACTTGCGAGAGTTCCAGTGAATATAAATGTAAATCTTGTAATTTGACTTTTAAAAAATTGTCTCTGTTAAATATTCATAAATTAATACACAAGGAGGATCCAAATAAAGATGACGGATCATCAACATCGTCATTATCCTCGGCATGTCCGCAATGTCAAGTTACATTTAACGCTTGGCACGATTTAATAAATCACGTTTCTTCAAAACATGGCCGTGTAAAGTTACCAAAAGTATCCAATACGTCTAAAGTAAATAAGAACAACAATAATAATAATAATAATCAGGTTACTCCACCGATATATAAATGTACAAAGTGTTATAAACGTTTTGCAACACGAGTTCGTCTTCAACAGCATTATTTAGTCCACGGCGCAGAAGATCAGAAGCCGCTGCCGTGCAATATCTGTTGCAAAAGATTTATGAATAATTCGGCGCTTTCATGTCATTTGAAAACTCACCGACAGGACAAACAGTTGTTTGAGTGTCCGATGTGCCGTAAATTATTTAACCAAGTTCTGATGTTGAAGGAGCACATTGAGACACACAGAGGCGAAGACGGTATATTTAGTTGTCCTCACTGTCCACGCACATTCACCAAGTACTCGGTAATAAGAAAACATATCAGAGCACACCATTGCGAGCGGAAACACAAGTGTCAGGTTTGTTCAAAACCATTTCCAACAATAGATAAATTACGTATGCACTTATTGCGTCACTCGGATCACAGGGAATTTCACTGTGCTAATTGTGGAAAACAATTTAAACGCAAGGACAAATTGAAGGAACATATGACAAGAATGCACAATGCACTGAAAATAAAACGGGATCAATTGACAACACAGAGTAATAATAATAATAATAATAATAATAATAATAATAATAATAATAATAATAATAATAATAATAATAATAATAATAATAATAATAATATTAATAAAAATAATAATAATAATAATAATAATAATAATAGTAATATTGATAATAATAATATTAATGATAATAATAATAGTCAGGCGAAAAAATTTATACCAAAAGTAAATCCGACGGATTACAATCGATTTATTTACAAGTGCCATCAATGCCTAGTGGGTTTCAAACGACGAGGTATGCTTGTTAATCATTTGGCTAAACGGCATCCTGATGTTTCACCGGATTCTATTCCCGAGTTAAATTTACCCATTTTGCGACAAACTCGTGATTATTATTGTCAGTACTGTGATAAAGTTTACAAAAGTAGTAGTAAGAGAAAGGCTCACATTATGAAAAATCATCCTGGAGCAGATTCGGGTTTGCACAACTCTACATTCAGTCAAGCTGTTGGAAGTGTTTCGACAGTTCCGCAAAGTTGTCAGTGGTGTCATAAACAGTATGCCAGTAAAGTAAGTATTTAATTAAATAAAATATTTTAATTTATTTATTAAACTAAATATTTTATTATTTTTACAGGCAAAATTACTACAGCATCAACGTAAGAAACACGCAGCATTATTAAATCCAGCTGATAAAATTCCCCGTCCAAGAAATCGTTCTTCATCCCAACAAAATAATTCATCAACACTTGATGACAATAATTTTATTATGTCTGATTATATACAAGGATACGATACTGAAGTCGATTTTATTAAACCTAAAATCCTTAAAATGTCTGAGGATACTGATTTTATTGATAATGAAGATGATGATGATGATGAGGGTGACGATGGTGATAATCACAATCTAGAGCTCGCTGGCGAACAATTTATTCGCATTTGCGATATACGTTGAAATAATTACAATATTTCTACGTGACAACGTAGAATTTTTATTAACTTTTATCGAGATATGAATCTCGTTATTTTAAATTCAGCGCTTTGTTGTTGTACGCTGAAAAAAAAAAAAAAAAAAAAAAGAAAGATTTATAAGACTTTTTGCTGCTCTTAGGCAGCTATCGTCATTGCCGCTGCATGTTCAGCTGATATCAAGGCAGAATACAAAAATATATAAAACAACGAATATCAATAATTCACCAATGGTGAAAACAAAAATTGAAGAGATAAATAGTTGCATAGAGGAATGGAGATTAAATAAATAAGAAAGCCAAAATAAATGAAAAATTTACTGGAGATGAGTTTTAAAAATAAATATGTGCACATAATTTATTTGTTGTTGGCTCTGACGTGAATGTCAGTGCTCGCCCTGACCAGGGTGGTTGTCAATTAATTGTCTGAACACGCACGCGTATAATTGAAAATCACTTTAATAATTGTCCAAAAAATTTATTCGGAATACAATGAATCAAAAAACTATTTTTTTTTTTCTAAGCCATAAACAACAAATTTTATTTTTAATTTCAACTATTTGCTAATATTGTATAAATTTTGCGAACAGACTAATTATTCGCTTTGAATTGAATTTTCATTGGTATAAATTACCAATTTGACATTGACATGAATTGATGTATAATAAATAATTGATAAAAAATAAATACACTGCGTGTGTAACATTACACGAAATACAACTAATTCTTGTAATTTTATTACATAATTTTTTTTTATCTACACAGTTATTTGAGACAATTTTTCAGACTAATAAATTGATAAAACATTGTTGAATGTAATTAATACACCATACATTTGATAACGATGATATTAATACTAAACTTAGAAATAAAAAATATCATTGTTTATAGTTAATGATAAAAATTAACACAAGTCAATAATAACAGAATTTTATCAATAATCTAATTACATTTTATTAAATATATAAATTAAAAAAGAGAAAAATAAAAAAAATAGGCAAGATAAAAAAGAACAACAGATAATTAAAATAAAAAGGTTGTAGTTGAGTATTATTATAATTGAAAATAACGTATTGACCAAATATACGCATACAATACTAGATAACATTTAGCTTATTTATTTATTCTTGATTTTCTTAACGTTAATGCTTAAAAGATATAATTTGTATTTATTTGTACTATTTTATTAAAAATTTAATGTGCACGCATCAGACAGTGATAATTCAGTTCCAATTTAATTTTAAAATAAAGATAATAAATATGTGATGACAATGTAAGCGAATTAAAGAGTAATTCATTCCAGTGTATTAGAGATGCAAATCATTATAGAAATATATATATAAATTATTCCATAATGTTAAACGAAAGTTTTGATTTTAATTAACAAATTAATTTTTATCCCCAACAATAATTCCAACTAGTAATAATTTTTTTCTAAATATAAATTTTAATTTTATACTTTTAATCAATAATACTAATTTATGAGCACACTAGTAAGACACCTAATATTTCTTCATTGAACCGTATATAATTGAGTTATATATATTTATATAAATATCATAATTTATAATTATTTGATAACAAGTGCTAAGTGCTAAGAGATATAACAACGAGTACAACTAATTAACGTCTCATATGTGGACTTTCTTCCAGTTTTCGCCATACGACCTGTAATGATTTATTTTTTATTCAATAATTGGTACTTCAGTATCATTATTTTATGATGACATCTAACAATTTTTTTTATTTTTATTACAAATCAATTATAAAAAAAAAAAAAAAAACTAAGATTTAAAAAATTTTTTTTTTAATTGTTCATTTTTTTAATGCATTTTTCAAAAAAAAAAAAAATATATCAATAAAATCAAATAGATATTTCGTTCAAAAAAATGAAAATTAAAATGGTTGACCCCACTTGTAAATATTTATCAAATTTTTTCTATTCATAAAAATCCAAAAAATTGAAAGATGTCTGTTAATTTGAGTATCATATTATTTTTATTGCCACGGTAAATGTAATATTTATGAGAATTAAACTAATAAAAGAAATAATACTCACATTACACATCTCTCGTACGAGTGCTTTTTCAGTAGGATTATGGCCAGCATCCCTTTCTAATTGTTCTCTTACTTCAAGTACCTGAAGTGCTTGAACAACAGCCTCGGGACGTCCACTTCCACCATGAAGATTATGAGGATTGTCACTGTCGTTTACGGTCTCCCAACGCGCATCCCGACTCTCGGCCTCCCACGTTTGGGCTCTTGCCTGCAACATGCTTTTGTCTTCCTCAAGCTGTTTCACTCTTTGCTCAAGACTCCGCACGTATTGCATCGTTTCATCTATTTAATTATTAATAGTTATTATAATAATTGTTAAAATTATTATAAGCTGTCATTGTGGCAAAAAAAATCCATTATTAAATAAACTATGTCCTTACTGACAACTAATAAACCATAATAATAATAATAATAATAATAATAATAATCTTTAAAATATTTACCGTTAAAAAAAGAAGTATGCCGAACTTGACGCGGCGGAGCGGGTGGTGGTGGTGGAGGTACCGCGGTTGTTTCTTCAGCATTTGTACTCGAGCTAGATCCATCGCCGTCATCTCTCTGGGCACCGCCACTTCCTCGCTCTTCGTCCAGGTACAAACAAAGCTCTTTTAATTCCAGATTGTCTTTTATCAGTTCCTGCAATAAAAATAGCATTTACAATTGATAATTCTTTAATATTATTTAACAAATAAATCTTTTTTGAAAAATTATTTTAAATAATTTGCATTTATATAATTTTTTGAAATTTCTACATGTCAATTTTTATTTCTCTTCTTTTTTTGCTATAATTTATAAGTTAAAAAAAATCTAAAATTGATTAAATATCTGCTAAATTAATTCTCATATAATAAATCAATTACTAATGTATATATCAGTACCTGCTGTTTATTATCTAACTGCCGTAATTTATTTTGATAGGCCGAAACTTCTTGTTTCATTACACTAGCAGTGTATCTGCCAAACCGCTGCCATTCCCGGGCTAGTTTTCGCCCTTTTTGACGATCGTCGTCCAAAAAGCAACACAAATCTCTTAATTCCTGATTGTCATCGCTTAATCGTTGATTAGCTTCTTTTAATGACCGCAATTCACCGAGCTAAATTTTAAAAAATATTCAATTAATATTTTATAATAAAATAAATTTTGGAGGGGCTTAGTACACTTATAAGTATTGTGAAAAGTATATATATATTTCTTTTAAAAAATATTTAAAAAATGATACTGAAGTTAGCTGTTAATTTTTTTAATTTTTACAACAAATCAATAACAAAAAAAAAAATTACTTAGAAAATTTCTACTAATAATTATTTTTTTTAATTTTCACATGTGGAATTTTTTTATTAAATTTCTTTTATAATAATTTAATTGTTATAAAATTCTGAAAAAATTTCTAATGTTAGTTAACTTCCATTACTTAAAAAAAAACTCAATTGTTTTTTTTTTTTTTTTTTTAAAGTGTTTTAAAAATGGAAAAAATTTCAATTAAACAATTATAAAAAAAATTTCACATGTAAAAAACTTGAAAAATTATAAGTGCAATTTTTTAGAAATATTTTTTTAGGTGTAATTTAATTAATAAAAAAAAATCAAAAATTTTTAAACGTCTGCTAATTTCAGTGTCATTTTTAAAAACAATTGTTTCAGTATTAATTTTTCTTCATTTCTTCTTTATTAATATTTTATTTCTTCTGTAAATTAAAAAAAATTTTTTTTAAATAAATTAATTAAATTTTCCAAGTATTTTAAAAAATGTTCAAAAAATTTTTTAAATTTCTCAAACTGAATATGAAAATTTCAAAATTTTTGATTAATTAAATAATCATAAAAATTGTCAAATCTAAAAACTATTCTACTGATATAAAAAAAATATAATTACCAAATTTTGTATCTGTCGATTTTGCTCAGTAACAATTCTAGCAAGATCACTCTCAGTTTTTCTGACAAACTTGAGCATTTCCACAGGACTGAGTCGCATAAATTCTTCGTCGCTTATTCTCTGTTTGCCAGTATTTGGAATAATAATATTACCACCGGGATAGCTGCTGCTGCTGCTACTGCTTGACGGCAAAAATTGTCCGGGGGAAATTTTCGAGGGATAATAAGAGTGAGCTGGAGCTTTACCGGCTGATCCGAGAACCATTGGCTGGTTGCCGAGACTATCTAATTTAGTCAGATACTTTGCCTGGGCATCTTTGATGTTGGTCACCCGCTGGGGTTGCTGTGACTGGGGGTAGCTGTTCAAAAGGGCATTTGGGTTGTTGCCGATACCTGTCGAATTCTTTAGGATACCAATAGTGGGCTGAGGCGGCGGCTGATACTGAGGCGGAAGCTGCCCAATAGATTGTTGTTTCAGAAGATGATGCTGTTGCAGCTGCTGCTGCTGCTGCTGTTGCTGAAGTTGATGCTGTTGCGCTTGCTGTTGCTGGTGTTGTTGCTGCTGCGGCTGTGGTTGTTGTATTTGCTTCTCTTGATGCTGCGTCGTCTGAGATTTTGTTTTGTTGGACATGGTGGCCTTAGATCAAGTGTAAAGTATCACTCGTCCCATTTCTGTTAAAATTCATTCGCTGTCCACTTTTAGTCTTTTTCCTCTACAATTTATTCCTAAAAGTCATTTTTTATCTTATTAACAACGCAACTAATGTTATTAAATGAAAATCAAATTAGCCGACATTTAAAAATTTTCATAGTTTATTTTATTAAAAAATTAAAACAAAAATTTTCACATGTAGAAAATTTTAAAAATAGTTTTTTAGTTCTAATTTTTAATTAATAAAAATAATTAAAAATTTTTAAGTGTCGGCTAACTTAATTTTCATGTCATTAAAGTTAACCGACGTTTTTAATTTTATGAAAATTAAGTTAGTCGACATTTAAAAATTAAAAACAATTTTTTTTATTGAAAAAATGACTACAAAAAAAAAGAAAAAAAAAAATTGTCACTTGTTAAAAATTTGAAAAACTGTTAGTGCAATTTTTTAAAAATATTTTTTTGATCCAATTTAATTATTAAAAAAAAAATTAAAAACGTCGGCTAACTTTAGTATCATTTTAATTTATTGTTTATTTTTCATTCATTAAATCAGAACTAAAAAATGTTTTTAAAAAATTACACTTATAGTTTTTCAAATTTTTTACAAATGAAATTTTTTTTTTTATTTTTCTGTAATGATTTTTTTCGATAAAAAAAAATTCTAAAAATTTTTAGATGTCGGCTAACTTAATTTTCATCACCAACTATTACAATTTACAGTACTCACTTGTTGGTATTACAATCACAAAACTCAAAATTTAAGATACTCTAGTAAATATTAATCTATAAAAAATTTAAAAAACTGTGCCGCAATTAAATCACGCTCCAATATGGCTGAGATTAGTTAAATACCATGAATTGAAATTAAAGGTACAGGTATACTGCGTTCGATCTTGATCACCAGGCTTAAAAAAATCCACAGTATAAGTAACAACCAGTAACCAGCTAACGAAGAATAGAGAGAAAAGAATTTACACAGGCAGTACTCGGTAAACTGATCTAGAACGCGTGAATGTATTAAAATCGCGCGGGCGCGATAACACAAGTACTATGCAAACTTTTTGAATAATAAATATAAACTAATGACTAATCAAAGGTATATTTTTTTTATTAATCAGCACATTTCTGACAGGAAACGAAGACGACTAAGTATAACATAACTAAGTATACTCTCTTAAGCGTAATACAACTTGAGAGCAGTGGGTACACTGGTAAGAAGGGGTACCTAAAGCGGGTAGGGGGGTCGTGTACCTGTGCTGTGCCAAGCTCTTATACCTTTACCTCTCTAGTATACTTTTTGTGCTGACGCCATGCATTTTACAGTAGATTTTCATCCCAGCCATCCCATCCGGCTTACATTCGCTGTCACTATACTACATCAGATGTGAGTGTGTAGTCTCTCTTCACCAGAGACCAGAGCGAGAGAGAGCGAGAGAGAGCGAGAGAGAAAGAGATAAAAGTCAAGAGTATGGTAGTAGGTAAAAAAGAAATAACAAGAGAAAGCAAAGGTAAAATTACTTGCCACAACCTACAGAGTAGAAAACCTACAGAGGTGAGTTTAATAAAATTGAGGTGAGTGCTCGGATAGTGGGTGACACTGAAGGGCACTGAAGATACCCTGTACTCTAGATGTATATGGGTGATTCTCTGTAAGGATGTTTTTCAATGTCCCAGGCATTTTTTTATTGGAAAAATTGTTATTGTTTTACTAAAAAAAAAAAATTTTTTACGAAAGTAAAAAAACATTTCTATTTGGAGCATTGAAAACTAATATGCATCGTGCTGGTTACTTGTCAACGCATAACTCGCTAAATTAATTAAATACATTCACCCTTGGACGTTTTAAATCCAATAGCTTTAACTAGCCTACTGTTAATTAAATTATAATTCTAGTAACAAAACTGCTAAGACTTGTAAAGTATTTATAAATAATCACTTTGTATTATACAATAAAATAATAATTAATGTAAAATAATAGAATTATTTTAGTTAATAGACATATTGTTTTGCTAGCGCTCGGAAAAATCTGGCTTTGCGAATATTCGCTGCCTCTCTCTGGATTTCGTCATTATTATTGGAGTTTAATTCGAGCATCCCGATAACTTTTATGGCCAATTGTTTTCTGTGATGCTCGCCACGCTTTGAGTGCAGGTGGATCAGAAACTCCAGGATGGTAGTGTCCCAAATACAGTGGTAGTAAGCGTCCATTGCATCGGTTGACGCGCAACTCTTTTGGTCGCTGGATGCCATTTTGAAGGCCAGTGAATAATTAATTTCTTCTAAAAATTGACATAATACGGTCGCCTGTGTGTAGCACTGGAGATGCGCGCAGCATTTAATCATGCGCCAATACATCGGTTGCAGGTGTCCTGGGACTCTTTGACTGAATAAATTACTTTCTACCATAATCGCTTCAAGGTAATACTTCATTGCACTCTCGTAATACGTCAATACTAAAAATGAAAATTTTATTATTTTCTGTATCAAGGAATTTATAATAATGATTTTAATAATAATAATCTTACTGAAATTAAGGTCGCCCATAGCTCGTAAGAAATGAACATTTGTTGGATAACATTTTAACGCTTGAGTCAATAAATGGAGTAAAAATTCGCTGATCATCCTTATGTTGTAAGAATTAGCGCTGCAATTCAAATAAATATATAATAATTGAATTAATAAAATAAATTAATATAATAAAATTAAAGTTTAAAAAATTACTTTGATATACTGGCTGGCCAAAGAGTAAGATATTGCGTGTACAATTCAAGACTTGATTCATCCCGCAAGACATTGTGTATTCGTGCCAACAATGAAATGGCAACCGCAAGTGCTGTGGGCTCTCTTAGTCTTAGAAGCGTACTGGTAATAGTGTTATTCATAATATCTTTAGTACCACCGCTACCACCGATAGAAATAGTCGTAGAAGACCCGCTATTTCCACTGGTGCTGCTTCGTTTTTGCGGTAAATCTTTAGGTGGTCCGAAAGTAACAAGCAGCAAGTCCCATGCTTCTCTCGGAAACTTTCGTGTGCCTTTCTGTTTAACAATTTCTTGACAAACGCTACTTATTGCCGCGGCAAAGTCGCACTGATTCCAACGTTTATCCATCCCACAAAAATAATCCCATTCAGCCATATTAAGTAAAAATACCACGCAATATTCAATTATTTCTTGTCGAGGAATAGCTTGATCTGTTTCTCGTACATTCGCTAGACATTGTTTACATTTGTCTACTAACTCAAGGAGATTGGTGTCTTCGACAGTTGAATTTACAGTTAAATTAGCGTTCCACGAATTGTAATACTGTAAAATTTCAACTAAAATAAGTTCCCAGCTGATCATCTTGGACAATTTATACGACAGATTTATCAGATTTGGATTTTGTGTGGCTATATGAACTTGTATCTCATCTTCAATAGCATTCAAAAGAGCTTTCGCATCCTTTAAATTTTTTGCACTCGTCAATTCGCGGCTCTTGGCTAACAAGATAAATGTATAATCTTGATACAAGCCATGCGGAAGACTACTAACCACGCTTTGTAACGGGATGGGTATCTCCCAGCGGCTTTTCGCTCGGCTAGGTGGATTCATCGAGCTTTGTCTGTCCAATTTTATCAACAAGTCTCGAATTTCAACAGGATCATACGAGTGAATCAACTGTCTCTCCAATTCAAATATGTGGAACTTTTTACTTTCTAAAATAAATTAAAAATATCATCAACTGTTGATCTATTTTTAAACTATTAAAATAAATAAAATCAGTACGTACGGTTGTAAGTTGTAAGAGAAACTCCCCAGTCGTTATTTAATAATAATGCAGGCAGCTCGGTTACCTCTGGCGCGCCCTGTGTCCTTATTTCTTCGAGTTGTTCACCATCAAATAATGATTTGTAGGACTTATTAGCTAAAATACGTCGAGACAGCTCAATTGTATCAGTCATCGTTATTAAATATAAGAGATAACGAGCTATCCGTTGCTTATCTGTCGTAGAAGCACTCACTAGAACGCTGTCAATTGCCTAGAAAGTACCCCCCCCCCCCAAGTATTAAATTCAATTTATTTAATAACAATAACGATAAATCTTACCGGAAAGAGTATATCCAAGCTGACGGATTTAGAGCGCTTTAATTCAGTAATATAATTCCCTTGTACTATAACATTATCTAGAATTTTTTTCACTAAATTTAAACATTGAACATTCAATAACAAATCTCTGGGAACGACAATTTTATTATTCGCCACGCCTCCTTCTATATCCAACTCCAAATTATCCCTGTAAATCATTGGGATTTCTCTTGCAATGTTGTCGGCTTTCAATATATCTAATATTCCCTAAAAGTCAAAATAATTTTGCAAAAATATTTTCATGACCGATTGATTGTATATATATCGCGTGGCTAAAGGTAAAAGGGCTTATAACAATTTATGCGCCCTTTTACTTTTGCAAAGGTAAAAGGGTGTACATTTTTTTTATTGCCAATCGAGTAGTAGACACATTCTACGCTTGAAATTGAAAAAAAAAAATTTTATACGCCCTTATAGCACAAATCTCTATTAACCCTTAGCTATAAGCCCTTTTATCTTTAAGCACGCGATATATATATATAAAAATAATTTTATTATAAATTTTAAGATCGATTGTCTTGAATAATTAAACTTACAGCATAATTATTTTTAACGGAGTTATGTAACTGTTGAGTCAAAGAAAGTTCAACTCCCACAATAGCGACATTGGTCGCGCGACAATAGCCGTCCAAAACGTCTTTTTGTACTCGGCAATACGACATTTTGGTTTTTAGTGACGTTAAATTATTAAACAAATCTCTTGCTTGAGTAATATGGTATTTAGCGATATCATATTCTTCTCTCAGTAAATAAATAGTTGCCAAATCGTAATGAATTTGACACTTGAATTCTTCGACAGATATGTCTTGCATATTTTCCCAATTTTGTTTTATCTCCGAGCTGTCTTCAGTTAAAATTTGAAATGTGTCAAACGTCAACATTTTGGGTTTTATCTCTGTCAATTGAATAACAGCATTCAATACTTGTACACTGTGTTGGACGTTAGCTTCAATTTTCCTCATGATATCGTCAACCAGAGCCGGCGCTACATACGTCGGTTCTTGAATTCCAGGTCTGCAAATATAAATATCTATTTTAATATCAATTTATTCATAATTATTACTATAAATGAAATATTGTAATTACATATGTATAAACTGTGGCTTCGATTGTTTGTTATTCAAAGCTTTATTAACAGTAGCTCTGATATGCCACCTGTGATACAAAACAAGTGTGAATAAAAATTGATCGCTGACAGTAGCAATGTCAAATTCCGGTCGGCCGGGTAACTCTATAATAAAATCTCCCGTGATGTAAAAAAGATCTTGCAAAAATGTCAGCTGCATTGGAAGCGGAAGTTTTATTTCTAAAATATCCAAATCCCATTTGAAGTAAGCTCCTATTTTTAAAGACAAAATTTTCAAAGCAACACTCTTGTGCGAGTATTTTTTGTTGTTGCTAATTTTTGATTCACTTGATTCAAAATCAATTATTTTGACCTCCGTATCCCGGGAATCTGAATTTATTGACATAAACTTAATCATCAGGTCTGTCGGAGATGGATCTAAAAAAAAAAGTATGAAGAAATTAATAAATAAAAATTTAATAATACTAAAGTTAGCTGACGTTTTTAATTTTTTAATTATTAAATTAGAACTAAAAAATATTTTTAAAAAATTTCACGCATTGTTTATGATATTAAAGTTATCGAGTCACTAGAGAATTTTTTAATTTCTTTTAACAAACAAATTTGTTCAAAAAAATTATTTTTAAAAAATTTCATTTTTTAATTTTTAAAATTTCTACAAGTCAATTTTTTTTGTCATAATTTATTTAGAGAAAAAAAAAATTCTAAAAATTATTAAATATCTGCTAAATTTATTTTCATGTATTGTTTTTCAAGTTTTTTACAATTAAAATTTTTTTTTTCATTTTTTTGGTAAAAAAAAAAAAAAAAAACATTCTAAAAATTTTTAGATGTCGGCTAACTTAATGTTTATAAAAATTTACCTGGTAAATTTTTTGAAATATGTTTTTTCAATAAAGACGGGTTTAACAGAAATTCAAACCAAAGAATCGTATCCGGTGAAATAGGTACAGTTCCCGGTCTCAACAAATCGACGTCCATCATCACTCGTTAATAAAATACCAACTATAAATAATCTAAATTAACAATTTAAATTTTAATAAAGTAATTATGTGAATTTATAACAATAAACAGTAGATAATCCTTCGAGAGGTTAAACTTGTTGTTCTTATCCTGCAGACAATTGACGACTGACACGATCAGCCATCAGACCGGCCACTGGATACCTAAACCGTGGACAGATGGCAGAAAAGTTTTATTTTTCTGGCACTTCTGGTGAATTCTCTGCTTTTGTTGCTATAAAAATTCACCAGAGGGCACCTGGGAAAAAATCTAAAACATAAAGCGCAACCACCTGCAGTGCATTTGACACCTGCGTCTTTTACTCACGTATACTATAGGTAATACTATATACTCTGTTCTCCTGTATTTCGTAGTTCTTTAGCTTTAACTTTTATAAAGATAACTAGTGGAAAAAATTCATATGTTTTTTGCAAGTAATAAATACGTCTCAAATTGTCACAAGTGAGTAGATATATATAAGCAAATATCTTTTATCATATGATTTAATAAAATTTTTTCTATGTAAAAAATTGAGTAATGTACATATGAAATTGTCTTTTAGAAATTAATATTGTTGATAGTTATGGACGTTGACTGAATCATACCTCTATGATTAATCCATCCTGATAATTTAAATATTTTAATTACCAACTGGATTAGTCGTTCTGTCTATGTAATATACATTCACGTCTCGAGAGACCCAATCAGGTCAAATATAATCAATTTAACGGTTGACGGAAGATAAAATGTCGTGTTGACGTTTTTTATCCAACAGAAAATGGCTAAATTGTATATCTTCAAATGTTTTTATTTATTTCTCGTAATAGTGATCAATATTAGTACTGATTTTTGTTACGCAAAATTAAAATACTCTTTATCGAAGCATGAAGCTTATGAAACATGTAAGTAATTGTTTTACTTTTGAAATAACAATTGTATAAGGTGATTTATTAATGGAATTTTTTGTTATAGATAATCTCACACAAGAAGAAATTTGCCATCCTTTACGGGGCAAAGCTAAACCAATACCAAAGTTAACTCATGCTATAACAATAGAACCCAGTTACATTTTTCAGAGCTGGAGAACACCTCGGAACGCCGATTTGATATGTAAATTTATTGTTAAAACAGCACATCGACAAAATTTGATGGTTATTATACAGAATTTGTCATTTCGTCAAAATGGTTCTAAATGTGTGGATTATGTCAAAGTAATTATATTTTTAATCAATTTTATTATTATACTAAATTTAACAGACATCTAACAATTTTTAGAATAGAATAGAGTTTTATTTGTATCACACTGCGCGTTTTACAAAACTGCATCTTTGACGTTATTTACATATGTTGTGCTTACACTTAATTATGACTCGTTTTTCTACGTATTATATTTTTTTTTTTTTTTTTTTTTTTTTTTTTTTTTTTTTTTTTTTTTTTTTTTTTTTTTTTTTTTTTTTAAATACATTAAACTTCTTCAAATATCACAATTACGTTACAATATTGTTATACCCTTTCATAATTATATGGTATCTATAATTGTATTTCGATGTCAGCATTTTTTGACATTGTATATTGCAACAATATAGGATGACTTTTATAACATTTAAATTACAATGAAAAAAATTTAATAAAAAATTTTCACGTGTAGGAATTTGAAAAAAATTATGAATGTAAATTTTTTAAAATATTTTTTTTTTATAATAATTGATTTTTTATAAAAATATTAAGAATTGTTAGATGTTTGCTAATATCAGTATCATATTTTATTTCTATATTAATTCGGTAATATCGATATTTTCAGTTTAAACGAAAAAATCATGATAATAGTAAAACATTTTGCGGAAAAATTAACTCTGAGAGATTACACGATGATTTTCCCGGGAATATTGTTGGTGAATTCACTAGTAATATAGAAGATGAAATAGAAACAACGATATTAGTATCGAAACAACCTTTAGATCCAGAAGATCCTCCCTTGAATATAACACTTGTATATACTCCATTTAAAGGTATAGTAGCAATTGATTTTTTTAATTAAATTAATATTTATTTATTTATTTATTTATTAATAATTTTGTTTTGAATATTAGACTGTTTCCATAGTGAAGGTTTAAATAACAATGGTCAGATTTATAAACGACCAACAGAAACATCAGAGTATTGTTTACCAGAGGATTATATCTGTGATGGAATAACAAATTGTCTTCCTGAAATATGTAAAGACGAGTCAAATTGTCCTGAGATAATCGTAAGCAATGGAATTGGAACAAAAGTAACAATAACTGCCGTTTCGACAATATTGCTCTGTTTTATAATATTTTTAATGGGTCTATGGATTTGCCGGCGAAACCACAAACTGTGTTGGTCTCCGGACTGTGCTGGTCCCCCGAATCCGGATGACCATAGATTTGCAAATGCCAATAATCGTGGATCAGGTAATTTTACTGATCAACAATCGCCGTCGGTACCTTCCGCGCCGATGCTTCAAGTTGCCGTTCTTTCGTCACCCACTGACAAAGATTTGCCGCCTAGTTATGACTCTCTATTCCCCGTGGAGGACGTCGGAGCTCCGCCACCCGTGCACAGTAATATATAATATATAAAATTATTTTTATTATATAAATTTACTATTATAATATACGTAATACGTAATAATAATTAGTATCCATTAAGGTCACATGTTACCTTTGTTGCGCGTTTTTGAATTGCAATTATTGAACGCTCAATTATTCGAACAAATTGTACATGAAATTATTGACTAATATTCAAGCTGATTTGTTATGTTATACGGCAGTATTTTAAATGATCTAAATTGTATATAAATATTTAATAATATACGTAATGATATGTAGTTGATAATAATTATAAGTAATATAATATTAATCGTGATTTTTAATTCTTTCAAAGTAAACATGCCAAATTAACTTTATAATTATTTCAAGCAATTAGATATTTATGTATAAAAAAAAATTTTATTATATATAATCGGATCTACCCGCAGCTAATTATTTACAATACGGATTATCCGTAAAGTATAATCTAATCGGATTTAATTATATATTTAATGCAGCGATGTATAATTACGTACAATATGCGTCTTCGTTTTTTTATTAGTTAAACTCATCGATCAAAGTGTACTTAAAGTCTTTTCTTTATTATCATTTTAATACGGTATACTTTACGTACCGCTAATAAATCAACGTCTTTAATGATGTAATTTTTCATACCTTTATATATATATATATATACATAATATACGTAATAGAAAAAAAAAAAAAAAAAGATTATATAGATAACAGCAATAAAAAAAAAACCAACAAAATTAGAGTATAGAAATTCATTTATTTAAGACGTAAAAAATACTTGATGTTAAAAAATGAATATGATAATATTTAATTGTTCAAATATTGACTTTAAGATGTTCGAGTAGCCAAAGTGCAGCATTTATTATTTCATCTATTTCAACAGGGCCTGAGCTCAGTGGATGATTGTCATCGTAAACTAGCATTCTAAATGAAAATAAATTAAGAATTAAAAAGCCCTTGGTAATTTAAATGATTATTACGTATACTCATGATACATTAGTACGTACTTGGTAGTGACTCCATTTGCCTTGAGGCGATGGTACCAATGCTTGCCCTGAGATGGTGGGACTCGTAGATCATTTTTTCCAATACAAACTAACGTGGGTGCTTTGACATTGTCCGCATAAACAATTGGCGAGCATTTAAACATCTTAATTGTCATTTCCTCAGCATAACACTTGGGCTCGCCAGAAAATGACTGACGATACGGTTGATTTATTGCAGCTGCGCACCTGAAATAAACAATTCCGTCGTCATTTTATAAATATTTTTTTTTTTTTTTTTTTTAATTATAGATTTAAGTAATATATATAAAAAAAATTTTATGAGTCATAAAGACAACTTTAAAAATAATGTAACTATTGAATATTAGTAATCTTACACGTCATGGCCAAGCGCCATTCTTTCATCTTTAAAAAGTGCATTGCGACTGAAATACAAACCCGCGAACTAATATATTATATATTATTAAAAAAATGTAGGATAAAAAAAATAGATGGAATAAATTAATTATAATAACCAATCAGGAATATCCGAGATGGTAAACATTGCAGCGATATCAATTACTGGATTTCTAGCTACGACTGATTTATACATATTCTGAAAATAAAATAATATTATTATTATAAATGCTCGTAGAATCAGTCGAATCATCGTGTTTTTTATAGTTTAAAATTAAAATAAATACTTTATACTGGCCACTTAAATGAGCGACCAAAAATCCACCATGAGATCCACCGCTGAGACCAACTCTCTCAGGGTCTAGCCATGGGTATTTTTTAAGAGCTTCTTGTGTGGCTGTTACACAATCAATTACGTCAGTTGTCCCAACTCTGCCTTGGAGATACTCAACATTATCACTTCCCATGCCAGTTGAACCTCTGTAATTAACTTGTAAAATTCCAATCCCTAAAAGAAAACTATATTGTAATATTATGATTGATGATGAACCGTCACAACTAATAATAATAATAATTTATAATTTTATCCACCAAGTAGAGTGTAAAGAGATGCTTCCAGTGAAAATATATTGGCAAATGCTGAATGGGGTCCTCCATGAGGAACAACAATCAATGGACAGGATTTATCAGCTCCGGTTTTAGGACCAAAGTAAATGTAATTGAAATCACCTATACAATTAGTATTTATGCTATGTTGTTATTGATTATTTTAATCATCTTTGATTTTATTAATGATATACTTACGAACTTCCTCATTGTTATTGTACTGATATTCATTAAATTCATACTTTATGTTAGTGAAGTCAACAGCTTTTATCTCAGCAGAAACTCGATTGAGTGATACTCGGCTGAGATTATTACTATTAAATCGGCCTATAAATAATTTAGGATAATCGACCAATGATGTTCGAGAAAATAAAATTATGTTATTTTTAACATCTAGAATGCTCAAGCTACTCGTATCATTCTTGATTTCCGTCAACTTTTTTGTTTCTGAAAAAATTTATTTTAATTATTAAAATTTTATTTATCAAATCAAAGATAAGCATTGATTTAAATGATGTTACCCATGTCAAGAATATAAGATTGGACATTGGAGCGCTGAGGATTGCTGAAAAATAAATAACGTGAATCGGAGCTCCAGCAACGACGTGGTAAAACACGATTATACACTCCATAAAACTGTTTATTACTTTCGATAGTAATGCTTTTGGGAACGACATCAATAAGAATGCTCGGCTAGGAATAACAAGATAATTTAAAATATATAAAATGATTTAATTGACGAAATTAATTATAAAAAATAAATTGGTGTACCTTTTTGAGTGGTTCTTCCCAAAGAATATGCATAAGTCTTTGGGCATTATGATGAGGTCCACTGAGATCTCGTTCAATCCAGACCAAATGTTTACCGTCTGGACTGAATCGGGGTGATCGAACGCAGCAATTATCATTCGAAAGTTTTTCTGAAATATATAAAAACAATAAATAAATGAAAAAATAAAAAAGATAATAAAAACAGTAACAGTTGAATAAATAAAGTATTTTTTTTTTTTTTTTTTATTTATGAATAATAACATTTAAATACCCATTTTTCCATCCTTGAGTAAAAATATCCAGGACTCGCGATTAGTGCAAAAAATGAGACCGAGCCTTCTAGGCTCATGTTTTAATGCAATTCCTACAATAGCATCGTTAGCAGGGGTCCAAATAATTTGCCCAGGAGATAAATCATCGGGTATTCCAGGTAGATTAACGATTGTATTTAAATTAGTGTCCAGCATACAAATAGCTGGAATATGTTTCCCAACCAATTGCTCACCCCAGTCACCTTTATAAATATATTCATTTCCTTTTGTTGTTTCATCATTGTCAGATTTATCATCATTTTTTTTACTATCCAAGGATTTCTGTTTATAAAAAGGTTCGGACTTTTTAAGCTTCTTTTCGGCGATGTATATTAATTTATTTGAGTCCGAGGACCACTCGAATGACCCAAATTCACCTGCATGACATTTATGTTATTCACACTCAATAATTTACAATCAAATATTATTATACTTATTTATTATTTATGCATTTTTAATTTACCATCACTGTAGACATCTCCGTGGACATCGAGCGCTGATAAATCATAATTTTTCAGTAAACAATCTTTATTCCAAATTTCAATGAATTGTTTAACTGCGGGGTCTTTATCTTTCCCAGGGACGGACCTCAAGACTGCCTTGTAATTCCCGTCAAAACTTGTCTTGGATAATAGTCTATAAATATATATTAATAATAAAATAAAAACAATAATTTATATTAATAAATTATAAAAGTTATTGACACATACTCGGATGTAATGTCAACGGGAAAAGTTGATGTTACAACTTTAAAGTTATCTGCTGATATAAAATAATCAACAGAATACTTCTGATTAGAAGATCTTTCCAAATTTCTTTCAGACCAACTGCTACGAACAATTAGCTGGTTATCACCGACCCAGGTTAATTTTGCTGAACTCAATGACGGGTACTGAGCCAACGACCGATATAATTTTAATATTTTATCCACCTGGCAATTAAAAACAAAACAATTTTATTTAAATATTCAATTACTCATCAGCGATAATAATTAAAAAAAAAATAAATAAATAAACTTACTTGTGTTGATGACATTTTGCTTTTTAATTATCAGGAAAACTATTTAAAGAAACTACCTGGCATGAATTCACCTGCAGCATTAAATGTTGATGTTGAGTATAGATGATTGTAATTATATACACGTTACATAATCTTATCAGAGATATTTTAATAAATAATAATGTATTTGAATAAATAATAATTATCAGTAGATAAAAGATTAAAATCAACAGTATATTACAATTGAATAATAATGTTTGTAACACAGTAATGTATCGTAGTCCTGTGTACTACTTTTAAGGTTAGAAGCGTGAGATATCCAGTGGAATAAAAAATACAATCAGAATTGCAATGTCATCGTCGTCGCTATACCATATTAAATTTACAACAAAAAACAACTAATACCAGCTGATAATAGTTTTTAATTGTACACTTTTAATTCCTTACGTAATTATAACACGTGGTGATTACCTGGATAAAAAAACAACAACAACAACAACAACAACAACACACAGTACAACTTAGCTCTGGAAAATTCACTTTTTTCTACTTTCTTTATATATCTGTCTAGATGTAATGTGTTGTTGCCACGTTCGCTACTACAATCGTTGATCGTTGACGTGTTTGACGTCTCAAATGTGTACATCACCTGTAATACTTTTTAAGACTAAACGAGTGAATGTATGTGATATTAACAACTCTCCAGTATTTGTACTTTTATCATCATCATTATCATCTTAATTAATTGCGTTCTCGTTAAATTTTATTCGGGTAAGTGCATTCACATTATCCATGTATTTTTTTTAATTATTATTTTATTTATCTTCAAGATTAAACAATTTTTCACTGTCCAAGCTTTAACTTATTATTTTGATGAATGTAAAACTTTGTACTTTGAGAGAATAATTAATATGATAATTAATCTATCAAAAATTAATAAAACACTAAGTACTAAAAATGCAATACATGATACTAAAGTTAGCCGACGTTTTTAATTATTTGATTTTTTTTTTTAATAATAAAATTAATACGAAAAACTATTTTTAAAAAATATCACTTATAGTTTTTGAAGTTTTTTACAAGTGACATTTTTTTTTTTTTAATTTTTTTGAAATAATTTTTTTCAATAAAAATAATTCTAAAAATTTTTAAATGTCGGCTAACTAATTTTCATAGTTAAGACAGCTAATTTTTGAAATTTTTTGAAATAATTTTTCAATAAAATAATTCTAAAAATTTTAATGTCGGCTAACTAATTTCATAGTTAAGACAGCTAATTTTGAAAATTTGTAGATTTATTTTAACTTAATGGATTGATCAAAAAAAAAAAAAAAAATCTAAAAAATTGCATTGAAAAAACTTGTGAAAATTTTTCTATGCATTTTTTTATACTATTTCTTCTGTAACAAATAAATTTTTTATAAATTATTAAAAAATTGATGATAAGTGGTATTTTGTACACTACTTACTTAATTAATTTAATATTTTTTATTAATTTTATAAATGTATTATATTTTTGCTGGTGTCTATGCACATAGGTACTTTCTGGACCTCTATAGAATGTTTTTACCAGAAGTAAATAAATAAAAATAAAAAATTAGTTATTTTTATCTCGAGATTTATCGTGTTATTTTTCAAAAATTTTCGATATTAAATAAAGATAACAAAACAATGGATTATTATCAGTAGAAGGTTAAAAAAGTAAAAGAAGAATATATAAAAAAAAAAAAAAAAAATAAAGAAAAGAATGAGGAAGAAAAAGTATAATTTTTTTTATTTTATTTTTAAAAATGATTTTTTGTTAACTACAAACACAATTGTTTTAACACTTAAACAATTTATAGATAGTACATATCTAGACAGTACGTGTCGCCACGATTATTGTGTAAATTGTAATTAACAATAATGTTAAATATGGATAGTGTATATAAACATGTGCGTCAACACAAAAGTGATAACCTGGTACAGACAAATATGTTGTTGAATAATAAGAGAGTAAGTAATATCGAGTACACGCACGTACTTTTGACTCGATATTAAAAATGAAGATATTTTTAATGATGATAATAATAAGAAATAATTAAATTAAATAAATAAAATAATAATAATAATAATAATAATAAATTAGGAAAGTAACGAAGTTATTCGGAGTGGAACGGAAGCAATTACTCCTTGAGGTTTTCTTCCTTTGCAGTGATCTTTGTACATCATACGAACTTTGAAGAGATCTTTTTTGCTCATGGACTTGCGCTGCCCAATTTCAACTCCCGGTTTAAGAGGCGTAATTGTTTCATTGCCATTTTGCGAGAATGCTTTTTTACTGTAGTGCATTACACTGTTGTAATCGTACTCGGTTTTATAATTAGTAACCGTACGGTTGTCATATTTATTGAAATTATGCTCTCTCCCTGGCTTTATATTTTCCCAGTTTATTTTAACAAACTGGTCGCGATCGTAGGTACTCTGTTGATGATAAAAACCAACAGCGTGTAATATTTCATGCACAATAGTTCCGTGACTAAGGCAACCGGGATTTTGTAAATTTATAACTTGGCCTTCGTTCTGTTTGCCCACCGAAGACCAACAACCGGCTTGATTTCCTCGAAATATTACGTAATTCTTGTCGGTTTTATTATCATACGGATGAAAAACAAGACATGTTTTTTCGTGAAACTCATCTATGGCTCCCATTATGCTCTCGACATCATCTTCATCTTAAACCATCAATAACATATTCATATATATATATATTGTTAGATAGAAAAGTTAAGGGAATTAATTAAGAAGAAGAAGAAGAAGAAGAATATATAAAAGTTACCGAAATTATCTCTGTCGATATAAACAGGAATGCTACCGTTAGGCCATCGCATAGCTTCATCGACAAGGCCATTTCTTATTTTCGAGTCACTATTGGGCATTATATCACCTTCAAATAGGCCACTTAATTCCCAGACATTTTCTATGTCATCAGTACTCCATTCATTGACCCTCTTGACTGTCAATTTAACATACAATTAAATAATAAATATATATATATATATTATATTAATTTATCCAATCATTATTGTTTTAACTAAAATATATACACCGCAATAATAAATAAAATATCCACATCAATAATAGTATCAATAGCCTCTTAAAAACTCGGAAAAATATTATTATTATTATTATTATTATTATTATTATTATCATTTATGTTTATATTTTTATTATTCAAAGCTATTCTAATGCAGAGGTCATTGTAACTATATAATATTTTTAACGATGTTGTGTTTGTTTTAAGGCCATTTAGATTTTGAAACTCATTATTATTTAAAGATGTTTATTATGACGGTGTATAGTTTAAGCGATAATAAAAATAAATGTTTATAAATAATAGAGTAAGAAAATAACGATAATGATATTAAATTTACATATTTCGTCGCTATTATAACTTGAATCATAATTCTTCCCAGAGTAGTGTACTTTTGGCGGTACTGATTTACGAAGTTGCTCATCGAGTTGTAATTTACTACGGTGACTATTGAATGCAGTTACTCCGTAATTACATGTTGACGAGTTTAAAAATAATATTAAAATAATAACAATAAAACTCGTTAAAATGTTTATTAATTTCATTGTTATTTTACAGAATATATATATATATATATTTCACTCTTAAAATATTAACTTGTTTTAAAACTGAGAACTCGACTATAAATGCTCCCTATATATTCGCTAAGGATTAATTTATATACATCGCGATGCAATGATAGAGAACAGCAGGAATCGACACAATGATAGTGATAACAAAATGATTATCTCAACTGGCTGTTACAAGTAATCCACAATCAGTTTTTTTTATTTTTCCGGTGCTTTTGATAATAGTAACTCTTTTTCATCTGATTTTATTTCTATTTTATTATTGGTAAAAAATTTCCTTGAGATCTTGACAATCTGAGCATTATTATTAAGTATTTTAATTGTTAATATTTTATTTACCTTCAGTTTCAAGTATATATACACTTGGAATATTTTTATTTATGTAATTAGGTCAAGAATAGTACATGATGTATATATAGTTGCGATAGTCACACCCGTTGTCGTTGTGTATACAAAAACATTGTGATTGTGACGAGGATGGACTACAAATTTGATGATTTAATTCTTAATTAATTCGTTAATCTATATTCATTAAATATAAATGTGTATAAATTAATTTAAATCGAACAATGATATCAATATCATTATCAAATAAAATGGAGATAAAAATCAGAGAATTGAGATTGAAAAATGTATTTGATTATCTTAAAAATATAATACATATCGTAAATTCCAATGAATAAGCTACTTTATAGTGTTATCGTGATTTATAATAAAAAATTCATTTATTATTTATCGTAATCGAAATTAGATTCAGTATAAAGTATAAATACCGATATTATGAATAATGGATAATTAAATTACGGAAAAAAAGTAAGAAAAAAAAAAGGAGTCGGTGGAATTATTATTGTTATCGAAGAACCGGAGGATTGATTGCGAGGATATATAATTAATTGAATGCAGCCGAAAGTTTTGAGATGGGTAAAAATAATTAATTGCGAGTTATATATATGTACAAATAAAATTATACATTACCAATACATATGTATGTGTGTTATGTATGGGCGCGCGAGTGACTGAGGGCAATGACCTGTAACGTTCCAGATTCCGTGTGTGGAACCTCCTCTCGTAGCCTAAATTCTAACCGCGGGCTTTTATGTGTTCCAACAGACTCGCTTTGTGAATGTATCTGTGCGCAAATCGACCTGAGATAAAGGACAATGACTCGCCTGACTTGCCTGCCTGACCATTCTCTTGGCACATATATATATATATATATATATATATATATCTATGTATATATATATATTTTGTATAAGACATATAATAATGTAATAATGTATTTACACAGTTTAGCATATTCAACATCATTATACGCGGTTTGATACTAAAGTATATATTAGTTCATCTGTTATTACATCTTTCTTTACAGAAGTACGACAATTTTACGTAATTGTCTCTAAATTATTACTGAAAAAAATAATTATTGTAATTCGTTTCCGCAATTTGTATTTACTATTTTGAAACCATTGTAAACACATAAATTAACATCTTAAGTTTGTTTTTGTTTGTTTAGCTTTTTTTTTTTTTTTTTTTTTTTAAATGGTCACATTTATAATTATCTTTTTTATATATCGCTTTATCTATTTCGTCTTTTATTAATTTTGAGAGTATTTGCGTTTTTATCATTGAAATTTTATTTTTTTTTATCTTTAATAAATTTGATACTTTAGATATCACGAATTAGAAGTTAATTGACGGTAAAATTAATTTGATTTGTCATTATTTAGAGAAAAAAATCCTGATGCAAGTATAATTTAGTTAAGATACTGTGTTGGTTCAAGAGTTTTTTTTTGTTTCAAGATCAAACTTTAAAAAAAATTTTTTTAGATTTAAAAAAACTTTTCCTTTCAATCATTTCTAGTTCTAATTTTGAGAATTTTTACTTTTTATTTTTTTTTATCTGTTAAGTCTGAAATCAATTAAAACTTGTGAATTTTTAAATGTTATTCACTAATATATATATAAAAAATTAATAAAATTTATTATTGAGAAAAAAAATTTTTCAAAATAATTTTCTCAATTCAAGATTTTTATTTTTATATCGAGTTAATATTTTTATTTTTATAAATTTGAATCTTTAAACAAGTAAGCATATCAATCTTCGATACCAAAGTAATTGTTTAAAAATGTAGTTACATACACAATAAATTCTATTACAATCAATAATTGTACGTTTGTTAATAGATCTTCGCAAGCCACGAGCACATCAATAATAAAAAACGTATGTATTTAATACTTACTACAAATTTTTGTGTTTATTAAAATTTTTGAGGGTTGATCTTCTTTTATCAAACTCGCATTTAATATAATATTTATTCCATCAAGTTTAATACAATTTTTATCTCTTGAAACGTCTATAATAATAATAATAATAATAATAATAATAATAATAAAAAAATTAATTTGATTTAAGAAAAAAAAATTTTTGAACCAAGAGAATCATTAAAATTTTTGAAAATAAACTTTTATAATTTTAATTCTTTAAAAAAAAAAATTTTTTTTTTTTCAACCAAGTTAATTTTTTTATCAATGCAGATATCCCAAAAAAACATAAAGTTCAAAGCTCAAACCTTATAAGTTTTTCCAAAATTTTTCCAAAAATCTTCAAACAAATGATCTACAAAAAAGCAATAAATGGAAAAAAAATCTCGTGCAATTACATAAAAAAGCTCTTATCTATCAATATCAACACCAGCAGCTAACCGTTTATCTGTGATAGGACATTGCATAGTACCACACATATACATATATACATGTAAGAGGGATTAGGAGAATAGTTATAATTTTAGTATTGTGGGCACGCGACTTACACACATGCACTTTTATTAATGGTGGTTGGCGCGCAGTCAATTGAGAACGTGCGCGCGCGGTTATATACAACTTGGGCCGTTATCTGTAGCGGACTTGCTCGATCACGTTTTTATTTATGGAACACACACCTCGATGAGTGGTTGCTGGTGACTTGGCCCAGCATTAAGGTCTCTCAAGATGCTATATACCGAGTACGGGTGCGAGTGCACAAGCAGAAGTCCAAGTCAAAGCAGAAAGAGAATTGCTGCACGAATAGCCATGGATATAATATCACATGTATAATATTTATACATAGAAGCCGACATGGACGACAAGAAGCATGGCACGTACACATCGGGCATCTCATATGTACCCTATACTCTTACCATATATATCTATATATATATTATATGTGAGTACAAAACGCTCGAGGCTTCAGCGGTCATGCACCTGTGAGAGTGAAAGTGTCTCTTGCTATATATGCCGCGCATACTCAACAGCAGCCTGTACAACTCCTCACACGCAAACTATCGATGATATATATATATATATAAATATAATGAGTGCGTACCACTGCGGTACCACCGGCTGCCACGTCTTATTCATCCGTTCATTCACTCTACATTCATTATTATTTTTTAGATTCTTTACTTATATGACTCGTATGCCTGCATGATAATTATTATTACTTAATTGTTTGGTTACACGCTCGGTCAAGTAGATTATTTAGATTTTTTATCTAAACAGACATTTATTACATTTATTACATTTATTACATATTTGGATAAACTCATTTATTTAATTATTCATTTATTTTAAAAGTAATTATCTTTCAACTCGATTTTTTAAATTACGCAGCTATTCATTAATTTGTTTAAATTGTAAATCAATGAAACGAATGTCCTGATAATTTATACCTTTTGTTTAAATGTTTAAAAGTTTTGTTAAAAATTTTTAAAAAAATTAAAAAAAAATTTTGTTTAAAAGTTTAAACTATAAATAAATAAATAAATAATTACGATATAAGATAAAAAGCTTTTCACCTCACTTGTATAGTACTGTACTTACGAACAAAGGAGAAAATTTTTAGTAAACATACATATGTCAATATATATATATATGTATTTTTAAAACTTTTGCGGTATCAATAGCACATCAAACATGAGAAAGCCCTGACTTTCGAGTACATTGACCCCTGGCATCATGTCGCGTCCTCAACTCAAACCCAATAGAGCTATAACATTCATCTTAATCCTTTCTATAATATACATATATATCTTACTGTTCCCTTTTCACCAATTCACTGGCATATGTATATATTTAATGTTAATTTACCAGAAACTTTCTTATATGCCTTGTAGGCCTAAATAAACGTTATTTCTTCGATCGTTCTATCATATTTGTCGTTGTCTTTTTGTTAAAGATTTTTACCCATAGTTTCATAGATAAATGTCTAATTAGCGCTTTAACAAATTTGAATCTTTTTTTATCTAGAACAAATTCATTATTTGTTCGTACCTTTGTTCGATTGTATTGAAAGAGTGAAGAAATAAAAAATAATATCAGATAATTGAATCTTACGTGGAAAAGAGAGCAATTAAAAAATTATATTTCTTGGTAGTTATAAGAGATTCTGCGAATGCTAAATTGGAAAAATTACCGTTTCAAATAACATTTTTTTTTTTTTTGGTTTTTTAATATCATTCTCGATAGGGATTTCAACAGAGTTAATGGGATTTTTAGTTTGTTATTTTTAAATGAGAATTTTTTTTTCTTTTTTATTTTAGAGTGAATAGATAAGTACGGTAATTAGTTTTGATAATTCTAAAAAGAGTCAACTCGCGTTTTTTAATAAATATTTTGTATAAAAAATATTATAAAATTATTTTAGAAAACAAATGTTTTCATTAAATTTTTTGGTACTTTTGTTTTTCATCGTTGGTAATTTTAAATTTAATTGAAAAAATTATAAAAAATGGCAAAGTTCCAGTAAGAAAATTAAAGTTATTAAAAAAATCAATAAGAAGTAAATTTTAAAACTGTAAATTTGAAGCTGTAAAAATCAGTATTTAAAATTTTATTTTATAAAAATATTATTTCAAACTTTAATTTTTTCAAAGCTCCTTTTATTACTACAGAAATTGCAATTTTTTCGAGATTTTTTAAAAAATTAATTGCAATAA